CTGTGGAAGAGCTAAGTTGCGCTACTCAGGGGTCACTTTGGCCAGTGTGCTGTGGAAGAGCTAAGTTGGGCTACCGGGCGTACTGAAGTCCAAAGTTCTAAAAATCTAACGACCCCACAGTCCTACGGGTGGGGAAATATCACTTGAAAAGGGGTCGGCGGCACCCGGGCGAAGCCCTTACAATAAGTTGACAAACACGACATGTGTATATGCCACTAAGAGTAAGACCCCTCCAATCCAACTCACTGGACATTCCCCACGGATTGAAGACTTCGTGCACGCGATGGTGCAAAAAAACACCGAACCAAAAAATAACAACATGAATTGTAGTCGGTCGTCTCCAACTGGATATATTATAGGAGTGGTGGTGGAATTGAATGGACCCCCCCGACTCACCTCTATATAAGGGACAAACAAAAAAAAAACAAGGTTGGAGGGCTCCTGGTACAAGTGCGTGTCCGTTTGTTTATTTAACCACCGAATGATGTGGAACGCCACCTAAGTGGAACACCACCGACACCAGAAAAAAGGACCTACATTCGGATCAGCTCTTCTTCCCTTCCTTCCCTGCCTGGAGTGCTTCGGCGACCTGGCACCGAGTCCGCATGTGAAAAATTGGAATGAGGTTGAATTAATTTGCCATCTGGACCCAAATCCAAGCGGTGAAACTGCTGGAAAACTCCACAAATTCGTGAAATTCGGGAGACAAGTGACAAGACTTCAGCAGAACTCTGCGAACAAAGCAACCATGCGTTTATATTGGGGGTGCGTCCCGCACCCGTGTCGGTGGGGCGAAATGGGTCAAGGCAAGCGCAAATGAAACGAACACTTCCACGACACGTCCGTCTTCAAGTTAAGATTGCATTTCTCATTTGGAGCGGGTTTGGTGTACCCGGCATGTCTGAATCATTAGAACATATTAGAACCGTGCTACTTCTGGGCAATGTCAAGTCAAACAATCATTATAACAGAATGTGTCCCTTCGACAGTGGCTTCAAAGTGATCCCACATGATCCCACTCAGGTTTCACCATGTGTCCGTAGAACATCTTCTTCCCACAATTTCTTTAATCCATTTCCGAAAAAAGGGGCTCCACGACTGTTGGTTGCCTCAGAAGAACTTTGGAGCCTCTAAACCACCTTTCAGACCGGAGAAGGTACTTGGAGACAGTTGACATTCAATGAAAGCAACTCTCCAGTACCGACTTACCACCCCACCCGAGTTGGAAGACGAGACGCCTGCGGATCCTGCGGACTCACCCAGCAAGCCCATGGCAAAGCCTGGCATCGGCAAAGCGATTGATCTAACAAACGTCCACTTTGGGGTTTAGCAAGTCGGACCTGTGTAGGAAGTCAGCCACTTGGATCTATACCTCAGAATTGGTGCTTGTCCGAACTTGTGTTCGAATATGGCTGACATGAGTTCGAACCGTCGGCGGCTGCAAAGAACTCCCTTTTCGACTTGGATTTGGGGCCCCGTGGTCTCAATGAGGCTGCCAGAAAGGTTGACGAGCGGTCTCCTTTTTCTTCTCCGGTGAGACATGAACTGACTGTGCCACATTGGGTTTTTAGCGGTTCTTCACAATTCCGAAAACCGGTTCCCACCAATTCATAATAGATTCAACTCCCGAAAACACTTTTGGAAAATTGCAAACATAGGCAAACAAAATCAAACGACACAACAAACCAGTTCAAACAAAGAAGCCCTTCCAGTTGATTTTTGGGTACAACACGTCTTGTTCTTCACTCACCAAGTACGTACAATCCAACATTCTTGCCCAATCCTGTGTAAGTGCCTACGGCCTATAGGCGCAACCTGATCTGGAATTTGCATGAAAGCACCACACATGCTCTTCTCTTTTCCATGTTGCGAGCTTTGCATGATTCGAGGCCCACATAATCATTGATCTTCCCGACATAAGGCTCATCTCATTCCCAGTTTCTTGAATAGAGATAAACCACTCGTTTGGTTGATCAAACAGCAAGGCAAGGTTGTATATAATGTATTAATTGTTGCCACTTGTGCAGTAAATCTAGTATTTTTTCAGCACATAGATAGAACCTCCAAAACGACACTGCAAACTCCTCAAGCTATGGACCAAGGATATTTTCTCCCAGCAAGAAGCAAAGAGAACCACCCACTCTTCATGGCCAAACGGCCAAACTAAACAACTTTCAAGGACAGGCATTGACCTCGCCCCCAGGCGCTGGAGCAGCTCAGCACTGCATTGAGTTGCACAAACGCAAGCAAACACCCTTCCCACACGCTCGCGCAAGAGTGAGAAACAGTTTCCATCGAAGGAGCACCCGTCCGTCTTCATATGGGGAATATACGGGATGATATGATATGTATAAAACATTTCTGACTCCACGTCGAGCTCCGGCCAAATGAACAAGTGGCTGGCCAATAAAGAATCACAGAGATGTTACTAAAAGCTCGTCTGACTCTAGATCAAACGAAGAGCTCCATCCAAACAACTAATTATTTTCCATTTTCCCGCACACCTCCCGCCTTCCTCGTCCTTAGATACAGGCGTGACGTTCGGCCTGGGGTGGCGGCAAAATGGGCGGCAAAAAAATAATTCACTCAACATCTAAAGTTTTGTGGATAAGGATTGTGGAACGCTGGTTTGTTGGTTTATCATGTTTAACTATTATATGATTATATGTAATGTTTATCAACAACGGGAGTTCAAAGAGAATCCTACCCTGCCCAGGAAAAGTGGATCAGCTGTAAAACCCTTTTGGGGATTGGTTTCCGCTCTTTTAAGCAAGCACAGTTCCTGGACAGAAGGAAGACCCGTGGTGACCAACCGAGTGGCCGTGGGGGGAGTCCTGATGCGGATCTCTGGGGAGTCCATCGTTCCGTTCCGAAGGCGGAAAGGTGACACCCTGAGTGCCAGAAATCCTTATAGGTAACAACGCTTATATATACAGTACATGGCGTTTGTGTTTGTGTGTCCTTTTCATGGTTTGTATTATATAGTTATATATTTATAGTATATCATTGGGGGTGCGTTTTAACAAAGAGAAAGGTATATTCCGAGCACATTGGTCTAGGATGCTCTAGGTCTTTCAGTTCAACCCTGAAGTCTTCCCATGGTTCTCATTGACTAATTGATCATTGAATTTCCCATGGTACAATGCCTCGCTGGTCGACTTTTCTCCACACCGCAGAACAGTCTCCCTGCGCGCGCCTGCAGAGCTCCAAGACAGCAGGGATCCATAGCAGTGCAAAGATCAAGGAGCACCTGGGGGAAGTGCTGACTGGGTTCGACATGTCACTGGGTGTTGACCGCAGTTGATGTAAGCCATAATAATGGGAACGTCTTCCCGGTTTGGATGGATGAAGATTCTCGATTAACCTAGTTTCGTAGTTTGGTGCGCGTTTAAAGGCCAGGGCGGCTGGGACAGCTAGGTTTATGATGATCAAGACCCATCAAAGACTGGAAATCATTAAAAAGATAAAAAAAAAAAACAAAATAAAAAACAAAATAAACACAAAAACAGAAAACCCGGTCAAAGACCGTCCTTCCCTCCATTTCGAGCTGTGTTGTTTTTGTTTATTGTTTGTTTATTTTTTGTTTCTTTTTTGTTTCTTTTTTGTTTATTTTTTGTTTCTTTTTTGTTTCTTTTTTGTTTCTTTTCTGTTTCTTTTTTGTTTATTTTTTGTTTATTTTTTGTTTTTTTCCTAGGGTTTTTACAGAAAACCTGATTTCAAGGCCAGCTTTTGCTAGAACAGAAAAAAAGCAGAACAAATAGACGTGTTCTGGGTGCTTGTGTTAATTTTGTTTTATGTTTGTTTGTTTTTTGTTTTTTGTTTGTTGTCTGTTGTGTTTGCACATTTTGTGATTGTTTTTTTGTGCTGTTTGTTTTTTGTTTATTTTTTGTTTTTATTATCTTTTTCAGGATCATCAGTTATTGATTATTTATTTTTCATAAAGCTAGGTTGAGGACAAACATCCAAAAGAGTGTGGGATGTACAGCACATAGAAAAAGGACCTGGAATCCAGCAAACAGTGAAACGGGAAGATGTCGTGCACTACCGCTCGCCAACCAAGCTGTGAGTTCTATGCCTTAGACCAGCAACATGTCCTGACTCCTGACTTGCATCTTTTTCCTTTGAGTTCCCCAGGTTCAGAATGGACCCTCAGTTCGCTAGGGTTTGGACCCTCAGTTCGCTAGAGTTTGGGACCTCAAACATGCAGTAGTTTGAGGGGCTATATTGTTTGGATCTACGTAGTTACTGGTCTTCATCTCCCACACGGACTTTTGGCGCCCCTGGCAGCATGTTCACCACCAAGACCTGCCAGGTCGTCTGTGCTGCGGTCTGAGGAGACGAGGCTGCGCTGAAGCACGAAGAGGAAGCCAACGGCGGCGGTCGATGGAGAAAACGTGCGACGTTCGATGGAAACTCGCGAATGACCAGGTTCCAATCCGAAGAGGTCCGACAGGGTCGAAGGAAGACACCGTTTCAGGTGGTGGTCACTCACTGGCATGGCATGATTGAAGAACCAAAAGGAATTTGGGAAGCAGATGCAAGCAACTTCCTATAGCGAAGCAAGCCAGATCACACGAAAAGGGAAGACAATTTCATTACCCTCCCACCGTGGCGAAGATTGTTTTCCTCTGTCAACCAGTACTTGTCAGGATCCATGTTAGTCTTCCAGGGGGTATGTCGCCTGGTGGGAGGTTCCGTGAACCACCAGGGATGTGGGATTTGACGTCTCGGTCGAAGGTGGGGCGCACAAAGAGATTTACCACCCAGTGCAGTGCAGCAATGACGGCCATCCCAGATATCCCAGGCCATCTCTTATACTGGAACAAGGGGCCTTCCAGGCTTGATTTCTGACTTGAACCGTTGGAGCCAACGCTTCGGTCCGCAGTCTTACAAGGGTGAAGGTTGAAGCAACATGTTGCGTGGCGGGTGCTGGGTGAAATGAAGAGAACACCGAGCCGATGTGATCCGCTGGCACTCTGAAATCTCTTTTAGTACAACCCAGGATTCTCTCTATCACGCCCTGGAAAAGCTTGAACATGCTTGAACATATGACAGGTAGGTGAGGCGCGAAGGACTTGCCAGGCTGACTAAGTTGTTCACTACTGGGGGCCGGGGGCCTCCTTGCGCCTTGCTCTCCATTGGCTCTCCTAGATTCTCCCAGCAACCAAAGGATCACCGAACCCCGCAGTCGCAGCCGCAGCTGAACAAAATCCCAACCAGGATCCGCCAAAGGTCACCACCCCCACCACCCAGCTCCCCCCGTGAGGTTTTGCCCGCCCGCGCGCCCGCTGGTGGCCTGGCCGAAGCGCGTGAAGATGCGGATCTGGCAGAACAGCAGAAACCTCCGATCCGCGGCCAATCAAACGGGGGGGGGGGACTTGGGTGACTTCATTGGGAGGACGGGGGCGGCGTGGTGAGGAGGACTGGCCTATGGTTCTCTCGTCTGGATGGGCTGTTCTTGGATCCATATAGGGCCAGGGCCATATAACATGGCCATGTTGCGATGATCTAAATGGTGTTCGATCTTGAGATTGCAAGGGATCGGCTTGGAAGTGACCGACTCGTTCTAGAGTCTAGGTGATGGATGATCTCTTTGGGCGTGCATGGTGTGCATGGGCATACGGTATATGATATGTAGCCTATACGGACTGCCTCACTGGTTTGTTTCGCTGTTCTCCCCAGGTAACAGGCGGTGGTTACCAGAATGTATCTATCAAGAGTTCGGTTCAAGGTCGGAAAGACCCTAGTTCAAAGCGCGTTAGTTTGAAGGCAGGATACTAGGTACAAAGTAGCTGAATTGCCGGTCATGTCCCATGTTCAATGGTACTGGGAAGGAGTCTAGCTAGCTACCTGTACAGTAAAAGAATCAACACGGCACTCACATGGAAGTGGAAAATAGGCCTCGAACACGTTTTTGTTTTGCCCTAAATTTCAATATGTTTGTCGGAGAGTACAACTTTATCTCCAATCCCTCTTGATCCAAAGTGTCATCATGGTCATGCACTTCTCCAAGCAACAGCGCTGCGCCACACGTGGTCACACAGCCTGCCAGTGATCGGCATCTGCGTGGTCACATGAGGTCCACTAAGAGGGTTATAACGGGTTATACTTCTAGAACCCTAAGCTTTACGCTTCTTACTCTGTTCCAACATGACACTTGCGGTCTACAGCGGATCGGATTGACACGTCCATTTGGCCTGGCAGGTACAGCACGGTCAGATTTCCACACCCGTTTAAGTTAAACATACGGCTTTCAGGTGTGGAAATCTGACCGCAAGTTAGGTGTCGACATGTTGCACGTAGGATTCTCAAGAAGCGCAACTTTCGGCACCCCAGTGTGTACTAAGCCAAGAATCCCTAAATGAGTTGGGTGAGTACAACCTGTCTTTAATTAAGTCTTTGGGGTATCCCAATCGTACTACCAAAAGAGATGCCAGGCTGGCAAGCTCCGCTACATCGCAAATCAGTGCTGAAGAGTCATGAGTTCTTTGCGTTCGTTCGTCTTAGCCATTGTTCAATACAGTCACCATGCAGTCCTAGCCGGTCAAATCATAGTCAACATGCAGTGGTCCTAGTCCGTTCGCCAATCCCGAATGGTCCTTCACTTCACTGTCCCGAACCCAATTGCGTCTCAACGGGGTCTGACAACACAGGGCGGGGGACCATCCATGTCTTGTCCTGGGTCAGAGTGAAGAATGTAAAAACCCTTGGGAATTGACGGTAACCCAATATGTAGTTAAACATCTGAACAAAACCCTAGGGTTGGGATCTTCTTCCAGCATTATGGACAAAAGAAGAATGCCACCCGCGCCTGAGGCGACAGCACTGCCGACCTCCCGCAAGGCATGGCGAATGTGGGCGCCTGGCAAGCGGGGTCTCATGCCTTGGACCTATTGTAATACTTGTCATACACACCCAAATGTCTATTGAACAGTGAGTCTCTCAAAGGACTTATGGATTAATTTGGTTTGGAGGAAACTGATATGTGTCGGATGTTTGTGAATTGGAGGAAACTGACCAGGACCCTTCAAAGGGGTGCCCTGTCTGGAAGCCTAGGCCGGTAGTGTGGGGTAGTTCAGCCAGGACACCCTGACAGGAGAGTCCAACAACTGTTTGTTGAACATGGTCTTGTGGGGCGAACTGTGGAAGGCCTTCGGTGTATTTGAAACTATAAACCTGCGAATCGGAAGGCCTTCCACACAGATTCGTTGCCCGGTGCCCGGTGCGGCTTTGACTCTCAGGTTTCGACTCTCTTGTCCTGCACGGCGACCTCCTCAACATATCAGGACTTACACACCATACTGCACCTAGAATCAATGAAACATGAGTCAGCAGGGATACACAAACTTGCTCTGGGGTTCTCAGCCATCCCCTAAACAAACAGCCCATCTCAGCAGTCATCTTAACACAGTTTGATCATCCTTCACGTGTGCTCACTGGTCATTCAACGGTCGCAACGTGTCATTCTTTGTGTTTATCGACTGAGAAAAATCAGAGACTGGATTTGATAGCGGCTTTGAGTCTTAAACCAATGTGTGTGATTGTGTGTAATTGTGTGTGTGACGAGCAACTACCATCATGAGTGTTTATGGTACAACTCCCATATTGTGGGTGTTGAGTCGTCATATTGTGGGTATGAGTTCAACCTTGTAAGGTTCCAGGTGAAGCAAATACCCTCCCAGCAGCTGGAGTTCGACACGGCATCCCCGCCATTCCCCGCCTTTCTGGCGTTCCTGCACATAGGCCTGAACCACCTGAGGGTGAACCACAGTGCGGGCGAAGTCAGCAGTGCGTCAGTCCTGTGGGTGTTTTGGTTTCAGGAAGCGACAGATCAGATTTACTGAACGGGACTTGAGATTTGATTTGGCCGATGATGTGGAGAATTGAGAAAAGAACCCAATGTTAACACCCATACTTTGAAGGTCACCCTGATTGTCCTGATTGAGATGTTAGAGCTTTACAAAAAGAAAGGTTGGCCATGACATCTTGTCCAGAAACAGTTGACACTCTTTGTCCTACTCCAGTGGCAAAGGTTGGAGACTGGGCGAAGCATACCCACGGAAAGTCCCATCATTTTTCCGCATGGATGGTCTGACTTTGGGGCTTCGCGTGGAGTACGTCCACCCTTTCCACGCAAATTGCTCTTGCTCAACGAAATGATCTTGCTCAACAGATCCCTGGCAAAATTGCAGCTCCGCTCATTTCGCGCTGGACCGTTCAGCCCCGATATTTGGGGGCTACACCAGCTGCTTGGAGGAGTCCTGTCGATAGGCGAAGCATGGTGAAGCTGCAAGGCACAAGGACCAAAGATCAGAACTGGGATGTCCAAGCCCAGTGATTCAGTCGTGCAGAGTCCAAGCCTGCCTCGAAACTCCGAAAACCAGCCTGGTGCAACTGGTCCCAATTGGCTACGATCCAAGCAGCATGGTTCTAGGAATGGTTCGACATCATTCTACATCCATTGCATCTTGATAGCAATTGATGCCATTTGGACGCTCAGTTCCTTCGCTCCACAACACCCACACAGGCGCCCTTCTCCTCCGCACCGCTGGGGGAGGACAACGCCACTGGCCAAGCCACGTGCAGCGGATAGTCCACCGAGAAGCCGCAGAAGATGATGAGCGACACCGCCTGAGCCGATCGGACTGAGCTGATCGGAGACCATCGAAGGATCGGAGACCATCCTGCGACTTCCATCTACTAAGGCCATCTAAGGCCATATATAGTCCAAGGCCTGAATTAGTTGATGGCAATACCTAGCCTAGACTCTTCCCTAATGGAAAAACCTACCTGGCTGCGCCATCCGTTGGTCACCATCTAGACAACGCCGCCATCCGTTGGTCCCTTGTCCATGAACCGGACACGGAACCGCTGGACTTCCCCGAGCCGATTGAGCTTCCGCTCACCTCCATGAGACCGAAACTCCAGTGGAAGACGCTGGTAATGAAGAAGAGGCCTTAATGACCGGTCGACGGCAGGCAACGATGGTAGGGGCAACGTCAATGAGCCGAAGAAAATCAACTACATCATCCAAATGGAGGCAAATGGAACTTTGCTGGAAGCAAATCAGAGAAAAAGATGCAGTGTTGTGGCATAGAAACTATGCATCATCCTCATCATCATCGTCATCATCATCATCATCATCATCATCATCATCATCATGCCTTGCACAAATAATATGGAAAAGAACAAACTGATTCACCATCAGACTTCCAGTGGATGATAGATTGCGCAACATCTGACCACGCGTCTCCACCTCAGCCCTTGCGGGGACGGAGCTAAGTTGCAGAGCCTATGTCCCAACCCCCAAAACAATTCTCGTGGAACGTGACACCCTCGTCTCAAAGACCCCAAGAAAGCACCACTCCAGAAGCGACCCCTAACCCGCATCTCTTTTACTTTATCTGCCCATAGCGTGACACATTTTATGAGATCACATGTTCCATATTCTGCCCATAGCAATGTGGTGTGTGACATAGCCAATGAACACAAATATACGTTGGAAATCTTTGGAACATTTTGGAATCAACATAGAGACGCTACAGGCCGCGGCTGAGACGCTGCTGAGACGCTACAGGCCGCAGTCGAGAGCATGGCAAAGCAAGCGAGGCCCTGGCGTTGGCGGCAAGCGCCGGTGGCGTGCTGGAGCGCATACTGGGTGGCGTGCACCCTTTTTTCGTGGCAGAAAGTGGAGGAAAAATAGCAGCATGAAACTAGAGAATACTCTTCCTGGGCCCAGGATTCAAACAAAAATCTTTCATATGGTAGAGCCAGAATCCTTGATTAAAAATAAGAACGATGGAAAAGTCAAAGCCAAAAAAATGAAAAGTCAAAACAAAAGAAAAACACAAATAAAACACGTAGAACACAAGTCGAAACAAAATATAGACAACTGCTCGAAAAAGTCGAACAAGAGTCGAACAAAAGACAAGGATTCAAAACAACTGGACCAATAAGGTCAAAAAAACTGTCAAAAACAATCAACCACTCGAACAAGTCAAACACAAGTCAAACAAAATCAAAAACAGTCGGGAAAAAAACAATCAAACAAAGTCGGATCTGTGCAAATTGACATTTTTTGACTTTCTGAAACTTTCTGACTTGACTTTTTTGACTTTGACTTTTGGGACTGACTTGTTTTCTTTTGACTTTTTGTTGAGCTTTTTTTTTAACAACATTGAAAACAGGCTCTCTCCAATGAAAGGTTTTTGTAATATGTCAATCTCGCGATACTTCTGGGATTGTACATGATTGTACACAAACAAAATCACCTAAAATCAACCAGTACCAGATTAATTTCCTGAAACGAATCAGATTCCTGGCGTGAGTCTTCATGGTTGTTTAGTAAACTGAATTCAGTGTGGCCACTTGTTTGAGTCATTTGTGCTTTCTGGCCTGGTCAGCTAGAGAAAAATCCCCTGATTTCTTCCGACTGCGATGCAATACATCGAAGTCGATGCTCAACTGCAGTCGAACAAGGCGTTTTATTACCATGTTTCTACCATCACTCTGGCACCAAGACCTTCAGTTCGTGACCGAAAAAAGAAACTGCAGTCTCTGTCTGTGATGCCTTTTATTGACCGAAAGTCCTGGGATCTCCACAAGGAAGATGGCAAGATCATTTTGATCATTATCATTGAAGGTCCTTATATTTATTGACCTTTTATTGATCATTTTGAAGGTTTTGGCGGCTTCTACACGACCCTAGAGTGACTTGCCGATCGACATCGGGGAGTTGACTTGTCGATCTCGAAGGTATGGCGTAGCACGGCCCACCCCACCGTCCCTCCGATGAAGCGGCCAACAAAGGACCGTCATTTCTGATGTTTTCTGTTAGGGAAGTATACATATAATTAATATAATATTCAGACTGATGTTTTCTGATGTTTTCTGATTTTTATGAAGTATACATATCAATATAATAGTCATACTGCTCAACACCTCTAGAATCATTTGGAGCGAGTCTCAGAGCATTTATAAGAAAACTCATCAGTGGTACTTGCACGTATCAAATTGTTAAGAAGTCTTCGAAAAGGTCCCATGGCTTCAAATGTTTGTACAGTATCCGTTTTCTCAGCAACCAGTGATGATGACGACGGCACATTGTCAATTTTTTGCATAGGATCCAAATGATCAAATCACTTTTCGTCCCTCTTGACTTGGTCCATTTTTCTTTGGCCAAAAAAATTGGTCTCCCCTGTGGTGGCCACCCCCCCACTTGGTGGCCCCAACGGAAAGCCAACAGCTCCGAGTGAAGAAGGCCAAAGCTACCAAGGCCTCAGGCTCGGCGATCACCAGAAGGTTCATCACAGGGGTCATGAGAAGCCTCCATGAGACTACCAGCACCCGACTCTACAGGTCACCTAATTACCACTTTCGAGTCAGCCATACCAGGTAGCAAAGAAGACCGGTGGGAGGGTGTTTTACGGAATCAAATCCCCACCCCTAAGGCCCAGGGCCTGGAGAGGTGTTAGACTCCTGGGAATCAACATGGAGAGGTGTTACCGCACACAATATGATGACACCACCATGATTCCCAAACGCTCCATGTATGCCACATATATATATATATGTATATGCCATGTAAAAAAATGCCTACATTAACCCCCCTGGCACCACCCCAATTGATCGGCATATATATATATATATATGGCAGTCCCATGGAGCGTCTGGGATTGGTAATGGTGGCGAGTTGCGGCGTTCTTTTTCTTTTCAATCGATGTTTCTTCCCAATGAGTTGGAACCTCATCTCAAAATCTCTACTCTCTATAGAACCATATAGAACCGGATCTAAAAGTTGGACCACAAACCCACCTCAAACCATCTGAAGGCCCTTTCACCCGCAACGAGCAGTTTTTGGGATCAATCATCGGTCGCACCTGCGGCTTGCCAGATGAACCCTATGGGGACCGCATGGATCCACACGAAAACGACCGCATGGACCAATGACGTACGCCCCACGTCCGGCTGGGAAGCCCCGAGCACATCCCACGCTGACCACCCAGCTGGACAGGGCGGAATTCACCACGCGGTTTTCCGCCTCGAAACGGAGCACACCGGAGGGCGGTGTGGGGCACCGGCACTGGTCACGCTAGTCATTCCAATGGATTTGGGTGGAGTTCGGTTCGGGTGGTTTCTGGGTTTTCAGAACAGGTGAATCTAGCCATCTAGCTTGCTGGACTGAACACAGTCCTTTTTCAGACCCTGGCTGGTTCAATGTTGTTGGAATTTGTTGGATGAATTTGCATGAAACAATGGCGATGAGACTTTTGCATTTCTGAGAAGAGTCCTTCTTTCAAAGGTGTACACCCATCACACACCCTTTTCGATGAGCAGGTTCCGCATATCTCATGTCAGAATGTGCGCCTCTGGTTGTGTCAGCATGCCTTGTTGCGTGTGAACTCCACTATGTTAATTCTGGTGTCCAAAATCTCTGAGATGTTGAACTGAGAAACACATGGAATGGTACCCTCCATGATGACCTTTGTCCATGTACTTTCTTTGCATGGTTGGAAAGGCAGCTCGTATGTGTGTATGTTGATGCGGATTATAAACACTACGTACCCCAAACACTCCATGTGCCCAATGTATACCTGCCTACATTGAATTGACCCCTGAGACCACCCCAAACAAGGTACTGTAACTATTCAATACATGGAGTGTCTGGCTACTACAAATGTGTTTCTCTCAAACATGTCAGCCTTGTCTTCTTCCAATGGTACACACTGGTCTACTGGTCATTGTCATGCATAGAGCTGGTGCTTGAGGTCTAAAGATTCACTCAACGAAACAGGTGGATATCGGTGATATTGCCTATAGACTTATTGTTATCCCAAGTATGACGCACTTCCAACACATCCAAGAGTTTTCCCAATTCCAACATTTCTATGACTATAGAATAGATACTTCATCTCGCTTCATCTCCTCTATGCAGTCTACACGCCCCCATGGCCCGCTTCGCGCTCTTCCTGCGCTCGCTCCGCACCTCTGCTCGCTGAAAGAGATCCGAGACCGGCCTCGGTGGGTGGACTCGCGACACGAGAGAGTGGATACGAATGTAGCGTCCTTGTTCCTAGTAGCGATGCCAGGAGCCCCGAACGTAGCTTCTTGTTACTAGTAGTAAGGTCAGGAACCCCTAGAAGCGATGCACTTGTTCCTAGTAGCGTCCTTGTTCCTAGCAGTAAGGCCACAAGCCCCGAACGTAGCGTCCCGTCCTCGCTCCGGACTCGGGTCGCGATGCCCTTGGTTCCGAACGTAGGTATACCCAAGTGTCCCGGCTCGATTTGGACATCCAAGGATCTCCCCAACAAAAATATGCCCAATGATCTCCGCCCAGAAACAAATGCGCCAAAGCAGGTGAAGTGGGATTTCTGCGGAGTCCCTGTTGGTGGTGGTTTCTTCGTTCATGAACAATGTGATTCCATGGATCTCATCAAAAGTCCCGTCACGAAGTTTGCAGGGTTCCAGTGGCTCCATGAACCTCACGCACCGGGCACCAGGCAGACTGGTTCCAGAGACTGTGGCTTCCATATAGTACAAATGGTTGAATGGACTGCGCAGGATGGTGGGATGACCCTGGTTTCACCACCAGGTGCCAGGGAGGGATTGCCAGATAGCATCTACAGACACTCAAGCCCACTAGTGTTTGGAAGCCCACATGTCAGGGACAGGTCTATGTCAAACACTAGTCAAGCGTTCACTCTGTCCCGGACATAGACCTGTCTCATCTTTGGAAAGTAAGAGACCATGTCAAGAATCGCAAAGCAGCACCATCCAGTCTGCGTGCCCTGGCCGGACTAAGTCCTATACACTGTTTCACTCATTACTCAGGCGTCTTCAGCCAGGACACCCAAACAAGACGGTCCGGGTAGACTAGACTTCCCAAACCTTCCGTGTTGTTTCTTTCACTGCTGAGCTTTTCGCTATACTTCATGCTTCTTCTTGCCTTCTTCTCGCCTTGTTCGTCGTCACCTGCTTTTTCGTCTGAGCTTCACACACCGGAGAGCCCAAATAGGCTGCAGAGCCTCAGAAGGAGGGTGGAGCTTGATGTGAGCCCCAAAGGTTCATGGGTCTTGTTTCGCCATAATCAGAGTACCGACTTGGGTTTCGACCAAGTGATGTCAAGCTGCCAAGCTAACTGCTTTTCGGAATGTCATGGTCATCCCAAATCCGGGCCGGTTTCCGTCCAAGTAACCATGAATTCTTTTCAGGGAGTAAGACATGTCCGTGCTTGCCTGCACCATCCTGCAGCCCACTTCCCCCATCCGGGCAGCTCGCGACTCTTGATATCCACTTAGAGAGATTGATCCAAAGGAAGTGAAGCTGGGATGTCCGACGGCGGTCCTATCAGTTCTTAGACTGAACAGCCTCAGGTGTTGGGATCACCGAAGATGTCTTTCACACATGGACCACATGGACTTCTAGATAAGAAGAGTTCGGAATAGCAACATGATCATTAACAACATACACCCAACCAAGAGCCCCATAAGGTTCGGTCGATTTGAATGGGTTGATTTGGGGGATGCTTGGGGATGCTTGGGGTGCCAAAAGGACTCATTGAACAGACCCATCGTCGGAACTGGCTGTTTTCACGGCCCGGCCGGCGAATTGATCCGTGCATGGCCGAATGGCATGGGTGCTTCCACCACCACCAAGTCATTACCCGGTAGCCCTCTGAAACAAGGCGACCTCCCAAAACCACAGGGAGTTCCCATCAAAGCACCTATATAGGCCTATAGTTACTTCATAACTACGACATACTACGACTTCTCCAGCTGGTGAAATCTGGCTGAGAACTCAAAGCAACCCACTTCTCCAAGCAGAACCCTTTTTTGCAGCGCCATGCGCAGCGCGATGACCAATGCCTGCACTGGGGTTCGGAAGACTGCTCAGCCGGCAAAGTTTAGGCAAAGAGATCACCACTCAAGGCAATACGTTTGTTGCTTCCTCTTGGTATCTCGACTGGTCATGGAGGGTCTTCTGGACCTTATGGGGCCTTCCAGACTGAAGGAACTTCAATGACCTTATGGGTTAAGGTCACCCTTTTTCGCCGAACGTCACACATGTCGCCGTCTCCAAATTCCACTGGTGACGTGCTCCCTGCCGTTGGGGGCTGGCCTCAAGAGTGTGAAAAAAACTAGTGAATCAAATTGATCTCTATAACCTATAGCAAATCGAAATCGAACAAATAGAGCTTTTCTCTCTAAAGTCTATTACAGATATTATAGCAGTTTCTTTATAAGAGGTAAACACACAAAAAACACACAAACACACCAATGTTGGAAGAACATGTGTTCACTACAACATCATTGCAAAAAATAGTCATCTCCGAAATTCTCACCATCAACAGCCTATCCATCCGACTGGTGGATGAGCATGCTCAACAGCCTAGCCCACGCGGCCCGTTGGGCTGGCTCGCCCGTCCCCCCAGCAAACGCCGCGCGGTCTCCCGGCCTCGAACTCCCCTTCGCTCGGAAACAGCGGCTCGTCGCTGCCGTACTGGACGAAGGCCGTGGCCGCCTCTCTTCAAAGGGCGGAACGGATGGGATGGTCTGGGGGGGGCAGCGGTCTGAGCTCTTCAGACAAAGGTCTGACCATATGAAAAAAAAGAGGTTTTAGTTGGAAAAGCGCTGGTTGATGAAAATGCATCATGCAGGTGTGACTCCGAAAACCAAACACAGGACCAGGATAGCAACACCGTCAAGGTATGGAAAAATTAATGGCTGTGTCAAAAAGGGAAGAATTTACTGAAGATTAACGTGCGTGGAGGGTGATGAGCATGATCGAAATGTAGCACTTCTTCAGAACAAGCACGACGGACTCAGTCGGCTTATGATGTTCACATCGTATCAAATTCTTTGGAACGAGCATGTAAATGCTAGGCACTCATATCATACCCAAGCACTCCATGCATGGCAAATATGTGCCTGCATTGGTGTGCTTCAGGGGTCAGTGTTGACGTCAATACTAAACCCGCCCGCACCGACGGTGTTGAGGCGTTGTGTAGGCTTCGCACAAGCCGCAAGTGCTGGATTGATATCTTAATAAGCTTTTGGGGTGTGGGGCGTTTTCATTTTTAGGCAATGGTGTGGCTTTGATGGTTTTTTGACTAATATGTGTAAACAAATTGTCTGACTTCGGAAGAAAATGTTCGCGATGCCGGTTATGCACCTAGGGGAACACTGCATTATTGACATCTTGCGTGTGTTCGTCTGTGTGTCCTGCCCGACCGGCAGACCGAGACAGACATACTGAGACAGGCCGGCTCCGACAGCACAAGTTGCTGCTTCCCACAGCAGTAACCAACCCGTATCCTCATGGGGCGCCACTGACACATTATCCACAAAATCTGTGCGGGCGGCTTCTACCGCGAAGCGGTGTGAATTCATGCACGGAGTGTCTGGGACATCAAGCATACTTCATGGGAAATGACATGTTCTCGTCATCCTCAAGATCCGACTGCTGAGTTGGCCCAGCCAGCGCCAGCATGGCTCTTCGCCGCCGTGACTTGATGTTGGAGGCCACGCCAATGCTCCTCAGCCTGGGCGGTTTGTTAGCACAGCCACTCGGCTGTCGAGGCTGTGAAGGGTGAGTTCGGAGACAGTACTGAGCTGGGGGAGCGGGGGATGGACACTTGGGGTGATATCGAGTCATACAGTTGGTGATGGACTTCAAGATGACTTTGCGGACAGCCCGATGTTTCTTGACGGAACTGAATTTGAGCGAAGTGCAAAACCCACTTTCATCTTAGTTCCTTTCATCTTAATGACTCAGAGTTCCTCGGCACCAGCAAACTTCACGGGACAACTGGGATCTTTCACCCTGAGCAAGTGAGCGCCCTGAACCTCAAACTTACTCATTCCATGTGATTCCCCAACATTCTGGCACATGGATGAAGCATGGCTCCATCTTCCCCAGGCTTCCTGAGCTTTCTAAGGTGTTTAGGGTCTGGCATCGATCGCTTAGGGGGTCGATCACGACCGTCGGAACATGCGGGGGAGTCTAAATGGGAGTGTTCCTCCACATGGTTTGTTTCCATATCCGCTGAAATTTAACCACAAAAAGTGATCCACCAACTCAAGAGGTGGGGATTGGATCATTTATTTAAGATATCCCATATGTTTCCATGATGTGCCCTACTTGACACACACTTCCTCCACTTCCTTCCTCAGCTCCGTCGAACGACCGCATGCTCCGAGTCGTTCCGCGGTCTACCGTCGCAGCCGCAGCACAGACCTCGGACCTCGCCCCTTCCACCGGTCCGGGTGCGTGGCCCTGCATGTTGGCCGCGCGCCGCCGTCATCAGCATGAAGACGTCTGAGGACCAGGGCTCTCCTGGAGGGGTCGACGGATTCGACGGCCAGGTGGCAAGGAGTGTTGAACTGTGTGGCAGAGATGAACCTGAGATACTGTTGACACAACTGGAATGGCAACACTGGGATAGTGTCATACTTAGCAGGATAGTCCCATGCCCTCTGGGAGTATCCAGGTGCTATCGGACGAAAATGTCCGGGGTGAAACAGCAACAGAAAAAAACAACTCCTGATTGATGTTCGAACATCGAGCATGTATTCCTGGTTCATTGAAGTTACCTTTTGATCTCCCAGTTTGAGGTCACTTACAAAGGCCTGTAGTTTGGGTTACAAACAGGGACTCCGTTCACGAACTGAGAATCTGGAAAACATAGGTTCAAGAAACGGTCCTGGCTTAGCAGCTCTTTCCCATGCAAAGGAACAGCAGCTTCGTCAACGTCTTTTCCAGGACCCAGACACTCCATTGTATGAAATATGTACATTTATCCCCAAAAACACCCCACTTTTTGGGCAAATATGTCATACATGGAGTGCTTAGGGGAGGTACAAGTTTTCAAGCGGAACACAGTATCGACTAGCGGCTATAGTGACATGCCCGCCGGCGAAGTGGAACATTCCGGTGAACAGGTTGAGGGACAGTCGACATGGCAACGGCATCCGGCAGTCGATGGCATCGCGCTCTGGCTGTGATGAGGCTCTGTCAATCGCGACCTTTTGCTCATGGCATGGCAACAAATATATGAGTTCCATGAGCTTCTTCTCTTTGTCAGCCCGGCAGCTAACCCTTCCAAAGGCTCGCAAATGTTGAAGAGGAACACCACTACGAGTAAAGGTGTTGCAGGCGCATCCGATGCAACAGCAGTTGCCCCTTGACGCACGTACCGTCACATACCCTAATTTCTTACCGAGACAATCCCCGAAAAGAGTTGAAACTTCGCCACTAACTGGCTGGGTTTTGATGCGGGCGCCACGAGCTACAAACCTGAACCACAACGGCACCCTTCTCGAATTCACATCTGAGCCTGCATCCCTGAGCGCTTTCTCGATGAAGAGATCTTCGTGACCTTGGACATTTTCCCATTCATGGCTGTGGATCTCTGTGGATTGTCAAGTGAACATTTTGTATGTCAACTTTCTATATGTCTTGTAGGGTCGTCACTGACCTTGGACATTCTCCCAAATGCCTGTGGATCTCGGGTTCCTTTCGGGAGTTCTAAACGTGGTGTCGGTCCTCCTCGGCTGTGTCGGTGACTCGAATCTCCGGTTCTTTCGACCCCTCAATACACTGAAAATGCATCGATTCCTCTTTTTGAGATATGTCAACTGTCAACCTTCCATTCCTATGGATGCACAAACCTAACCTGAGAAGGTGATTGGAGACTCTGGATCCCTTGAGCATGTTTTGTATTTCACATCCACTGCCCCCTCCAAAAAAAGACACCTTGGTCTAGGAGGTCCACCAATCACTTGCGACGAAGAAATCACATCACTTGCGGCGAAACTGACCACAACTTGCGACGACAACAGCATCACCAGCATCGTGAGCCCCAGGTGTGGTGGGGTGGTGCGTGCTATGCGTATATACTCCTTTGCGAAGTGGCCATGCTGTGAAACGATCCGCAGACAGCACGCATGTACCTACGCACAAAGCATCACCAGCATCATTGGTGTGTTGGGTTGGTGTGTGGTATGGGCAAATCAGCATCACAAGC